AATGAACGGAACGGAAAGAACTGTAAAATTACAAAAACGGACAACAGTACCAATTATCTCTGAAATATTTCATTAGCATTGCACTTTTACATTGGCCTAGTTTACACACGTACTTTTAAGCTCTTATGTATATTTACAATAAATTTTTGTTTTGATTTTTTTCAGAGGTTAATATAAGATTATAAGTAATAGGAAATAGAAATACAATCAATATAAAAAATATATTAGTCGTTCACTCACCAAATTTCATTTCTTTCGTCTTCGTCTTTTTCTAGTTGAATTGGTAATTATTTTATTTGCAATTGTCCATTTACGAGATTTGTTTGTCTTTCCATTCTTTCTCTTTTTATTACACACACACACAACTCAAAATTAATATATTTATTACTTAAGCACATAAAAAAAACAAAAAATTAAACACTTAAAAAAAGAAAACAAAAAGAAATGGAAAGGAATGGAAAGAATTCTTATATTACACACGCTACACTAATAATCTCTGATATACTTAATCAGCACTGCACTTTTATATATGTATTTACTAGGTTTTTGCGCGCACTTTAAATACTTCTCGATTCTTTAATAACTGTTAATTCAAAACACACGCCTAGAAAGCGAGCGTTTTGCATATTGTCTTTTCGAGCGGTTACTTGCCATGCACTCGTACACAAAAAATGCGTGGACTAAACACATCCACACATACATACATGCATAATAGCGGGGGCTGCTGCGCTGCTGCGCTGCTGGCGCAGGTGTCTCAATGTTTTTAATGCTGATTTTGTGGCTTCAATTTAATATGTTCACTAGCTAACTGCTTTAAAAATGTCTTATTGTTGATAACGTACATTCAGATGTAGTTATTTATTAATTTCACTTCGGCATTTGCCCATATTATCATTTGTTCTTATTCCTTTTCCCGCTTTTACGCCACCAATTGGAGGGAAAAATAGCGCTCACTTCAGATTTCCACAAATTCGTTAGTATTTCACTTGTTTAATGTTTAATTAATCGTCATAGCACTTATTGCAGTTAGTTTATGTGATTAATCCATTTAGTAGGTGTTATTAAACGTTTTTTCGCACGAGAACATATTTTAGCAGCCGCACGCCAAAATTTTCCACTTGCAATTGTGATTTCTTCCTCTCCACTCTTTCACCTCGCTCTCATCAGCTCTGAGAGTAAGCCCACACTCTCAATCGGTATTTACATTTTGTCACTGCTGCTGCCGAACATTGTCCGCGGGAGTGTCAAGTATGTTTTTATTGTAGTTTTACAACAAATCGGTTAGTTCCTTTGAACTAGTTCTTTTTAATAACGTTGGTGTTAATTAAGTTTTTGGCGAGACCACCCGTTCACTTCGGCACTTTCTCAATTCCATTTTTGACGTCACAACTCCAAAGAGGCACAGCACATACATATGTATGTATGTATGTATGCATATTTAGTTTTATATTGCAAACTATATGTTATTTATGCTTAATTGAGTGTTCCCAACTAAAACGCACTTAGTTATGTTGATTTAATTAGTTTGTAGATATTAACACACCTTTTTATCGGACAATAAACATTTTTCAGCAGCAGCACAACCAAATTTCACACTTTTGCGACTTTGTTATTGTCCTCCTTCACACCGCTCTTCAATTGGCAACCGTTTGATATGGCAAAGAGGCAAATTCTGGAGCGGGAGAACGAGTGCAAAGAAGAGGGAGCGAAGAGCAAGAGCAGAAGAAGAAGAAGATCGCCATTAGCAAGTGAAAAAATTTGGTGTGCTGCTGCTAAACTACATTTTAAGCCGAAAAAAATTTTTAATAACACCTACTAACCGATGGAATCAGTTAAACTAACTAAATTATGTGCGGGGACACTTAATTAAACATTAAACAAGTGAAAGTGAAGTGAATTTAAGGAAATGTGAAGTGATCGCTGGTTTTCCCTCCAATTGGAGGTGAAAAAGCGGGAAACGAAATAATGAAAAGTCTTAAATTGTGCAAATGACGAAGTAAACTTATTAAATAACTACTTATGGATGTACGTTATCAACAATAAGACATTTTTAAGGCAGTTAGCTAGTGAACATATTAAATTGAAGCCACAAAAACAGCAATAAAAACATTGAGACTCCCGCGGACCGCAGCGCAGCAGCCCCCGCTATTATGCATGTATGTATGTGTGGATGTGTTGAGTCCACGCATTTTTTGTGTACGAGTGCATGGCATGTAACCGATCGAAAATGGAATATGCAAAAAGCTCGCTTTCTTGCGGTATGTTTTGAATTAACAGTTTTTTAAGAAATGAGTGTCGAATGAAATGAGCTTCGAAGCTTTTAAAGTGCGCGCATAAACCTAGTGAATATGTAAATGAAAGTGCAGTGCTGATTAAGTATATCAGAGATTATTAGTGTAGTGTTCGCGTGTGTAATTTGAAAGTTCTTTCCATTCCTTTCCTTGTCTTTTTGTTTTCTTTTTTTAAGTGTTTAAGTGTTTGTTTTTTGTTTTTTTTTTTGTGTGTGTGTTTAAGTAATAAATATATATATTAATTTTAAATGGTGTGTGAAATAAAAAGGAAAGGATGGAAATAAAAAAAAATCTCGTGAAGGGACACAATTGCAAATAAAATAATTACCAATTCAACTAGAAAAAACGAAGAAGAAGAAAGAAATGAAATTTGGTGAGTGAACGACTAATTTATTTTTTATATTGATTGTATTTCTATTTCCTATTACTCATAAACTTATATTAACCTTTTATAAATATAATAATTTTAAAATTTTAAACTAAGTAAAGTCAATGAAATATGCCAGGGTTTATTGGTTTTGTTGTTCGTTATAGTTATTTTAAAATTTTATCCACTCCTTTCTATTTATTGTTAATAACGCGTAGGCAAATATCTATTTTTTGTTTTTTGACTAATTATTACATTGATTGTTTTTAATTCTGTGAGAAAAAAATACCCTTAAATATCAAAGGGAAAGGAAGGTAAGAAAATTAGGTTCCAGAGTGTAATGCAGATAAAAAAGAAAAAAACAACGAAGAAGAAAGAAATGTAAAAAAGAAAATCGGTAAGTACAAAACAATTTATTATTTATATTAATACCAATACTTATTAACAACCCTAATCTCTCGATTTCTAATTATTATTATGATTTAGACTCGACCCAAAACTTTATTAACACAAGCTTCTTAGCTTCCCTTTTTGTTTTCTTTTCAAATACATTAATTTTTTTTTTATTTATCAAAATTCCATAGTAAGCTCTATAAATTAAGCAACTTTTTGTTAATATTTAAGCTGGGGCTTGTGGACAAAACCAAATTGAATTAGAGACTCTGGCAAATGCATTCGTTTTACAACTGAAATCATAAACAGAACCGAATGCTGCTTAAAATTTCATTACGCGCACTTAAGCGGTGTGATTTTCCGGGTCTGGTTTGGGGGGGGGGGGGTGATTTCCCCCCGTTCTGGCAGTGTTGCAAAGGGCTCATAAAATCCGCTGCAGTAGCTGGGCGAACCACCGCAGTGGTGACACATCCACATCCACATCCTAGTCGTCGTCCGCATCCGCATCCACATCCCACATTCACTGCAATGCAGCTGGTGAAATGTCATCAGCGCCTGGATTTTATGGCGTTGCCAAAGGAGAATGTATCTAAGCTGCAGTCTTGTTCCAGGTTTGGGGTTCTCGGTTCTCTCGGTTCTTGGTTCTGGTTTCTGGCCATCGTGTTCCTGGTTAGCTGAGTCTCCGTTTTCTGGCTCCTAAATTCGGCTAAAAGCGTAAAACTTTTATGGCTGCCGCAGCGCGTGGAGGGAACCTCTCCGCGTCGTCGGCAAAGTCGTTGTCGTAAATAAATTTCTGGCCGTAATTAATTTTGCATGCCAGTCAGCTGCTAGTGAAGCTTCTTCTCAAGACACTTCTCCTTTATTTTTCGGGGTACTTCATAAGCTGATTGTGAATGCCACACGCCATTACGGACGTTTTGATATGCCAAATGTGTCGCTAAATGATTTTTATTCGCCGTTGCTCATACGCACCGTGGTCGTGCTGGGGTTTTATTTTATTTTTGTTTTTGTGTGTTGTATGCAAATTGTTGTTACCTTTGCCAGTGACGCACATAGTTGACGTTGCCTCCTTTTGCTCAAAAATTGACTTTGCAGTGGAGCAGCAGCAGCAGCAGTCGGCTCATTAGTGAGTCTGTTTGCCATTGTGGCTGTGTTGTCTGCTCAAACATTATTTATCTGGCGTTTTTAACACTTGCCTCGCTGACAGTCACTCTCTGGCATATTCTGCGCCATTTTCACTAGTTTGGTTATAGTTTAGACCATTAAATACCTGGGTCTTAAGTCATTAAAGTAATTTAAAGGTTAATAGGGTTAATTAACTGTTTAAAAAACTTAATCTTCACCAATCATTGCTTTCTTTTGGGTGGTCTTTGAAGGAAATATTAAAGATATATCTAAAGACTATACAAAAATTAATATAGAATATATATAATAACTTAAAGTTATGTTATATATTACCTAGAATATCCTAGAATTAAAGAAAATCTTTAAGTAATAGAATATAGTTACCTAGATGTTAAAATTAAGGCTTATATCTTTATGTCTTTACTAGTTATCTAAATATTACAATTTATTTATGTGAATATATTTATTTAAAAATTATCCTATAAGCACCCCAAAAATACAGGGTATCAAACTATACCCCGACTAACAAGTGCAAATTTGTTTGCTGCATTGAGACGGTCACAAAATTTCTCAACCTTGGCTTCGTGCTCGCCCTGTTTGCGCCATGTTAATTTCTGTTGATTTTACGCGTTAGCTGCTTGGTTGCCCCGCCGTGTGTTTACTGTAGCTACAGTACAGTACATTTATTTGTATCGGGGCCAGGTCACAGCTGTGTGTGAATGGGGTCCAAAGAGGGGAGAAGGCCAAAGTAAACCGTATCCAAAGGTCCTCCTACTGAACTCTTTTATTTATATTTTTTATTCTTTCTAATTAATAAACTGACTTCTAAATTTAACAAGTGGCAGCAGCCCTAGTGCTGTTACTCAAAAATTTACATATGTTTGAATTTGCGAAAGTAACTGGTTTTATTTTGGGACCTTTCAAGTACCAATCCAAGACATGGATGTCCGTAGAAGAGACCGGACAAGGGTAAAGTTCACCCGTCGCACTTACCTTGTATTGACGTTAATTTTGGCAATTTCCTTCCTCCAATGGGGTGTGGTCTCGATAATGTGGGTACTTAGTTATTACGATCCGTAAGATACACATTATAACGACTCCGTCTCATAGGTTGGAAACTCGTCAGAAATTCCAAGAGTTTTCCATTTGGTGCCCAATCACATTTTGCCTGGCAGTTGCACTTTTCTGCGTATTTATATTAGTTGGGTATATTCGCAGTCACATTATTTTTAAATGGGTAATGGCTGTAGTTATAGTAAGTTGATGTAGGTTTTTATAAAATTTTTTGAACTATTACTTTGCCCAAAAATACCCAAGGTTGAGCTATATGTGATCGCGATGTTTATCCTGGTGATAACAAGTTGGTTGCCGGAAGTGCTGGTTTATTTCGTTATCTGCGTGCTCTCCATGATCGTGGCCCTGGTTATTGGTTGTAATCTCTCCTTTTCGGTGGGATAACTAAGTACTTAATGTTATTTGAATATCTTACTAATTCTTTGACCTTTTTAAGATGGATATGACTCAGAGTATTGCACCGATTTTCATCACATGCTATATTCTGGTTGCCGCCTCGATGTACGCACTAATGATTCATTTGTATAATGTGCATCCAGAGCCTTATGCCTTTATGGTCTTTGAGATTATTCTTCACTTGGTGATGTTGTTGGTAAGATTTTAATATGTTTAAAAGCTTGTATTTTTATAGGCAAACCTGTAGCTTGTAATGCTGCATGCGCAAACGATCAGAGGAGATCGATTTATACAAATGAGTACCGATGACTATCTGCTGGCCGCCTTGCTGCTGTACCATGAATTTCTCGCCATATATGCCATGACATTTTATTGGCAAATTAACTATTCATTTTTCACATCAAAGGACTTTTTCTGGTTATCGACGAGTATACCAGGGTCGACAATGAGGAATCCACAAACACAACCCAATATAGCTCCATTAGATGGTAATATTAATTTGCAATTAATTACAAGGACTTTCGGGTAATACAGAGCTTCTTATTGCAGATATCGATGCGGGTTCTGATTATAACTTGGATTTCGATGACTACGACAAGAAGCCTTCCGATTGATGAGGAGCCAAGAGGTGCAACAAGTAAATGTAAAATGATTTAATTGTGTTTATACATTCTATATAATAATTTGTATTTACAGGCTTCAATCAAGTTAGCTGGGAGATGGCAATTACAATTTTATTTCAATTTACACAACCCGGCGAATTTTTGAGATGCCTTTTCTGTGGCTATAAAGGATCGCTGACAAGGACACGCGGCAAAACCACACATGACATATCTCGGGCCCATGGATAACGATGTACGCCCCGGACGACTTCCGCGCGTATCGAAGGGCGCGGACAGCCTTTTCAGCAAAGGTTTATGGACTGCTGATCCTTTGGCTGGTTCTGGCCCTAATCCAATGGATGGTTGTCTGCCTTATGTAAGTTTACCACACACCCTTTGGGGTCTCACATTCATTTTTCATTTCCTCATTGCAGAGAAGATGCACGATCGGCTTTCAGGAAATACTGGTACATATCCTTGATAGCCTTTGCCCTGGCCATCCTGCTTTTAGCTATATTTATATTTGCTGATGGGCTGCGATTTATGCAGTTTCTAAATTTTATCATATCGCTGCTTATTGTAAGTGAAGCTAAGGATATTTAAGTATATATATTTATAGACACATTATATTATAGATTTCAACTATTTCAGGTGGAATTTCAGATTATTGCAACGTTCATTCTGGTAGTGCTCAGTTGGTGGGCGGACGTACTTGTCTTTTTTGTAGTGGCTGCAGCTTTGATATTTATATTCCTGCTAATTGGAATAATACTGCCGCGAAGGGTAATGAAAATATATAAGTTTTCGATGAACTTAACACACATTTGATTTTGATGTACAGGTGGATCTAACCCTGGACATTGCGGTGCTCTTTATAATAGCATTCATTTTCCTAATTATCGCCGTCTTTGTACTGACGCTCTTGGTGTGCATATCGTTCCCAAGGATGTATACATATCTGGTGGTGGAATTGGCCGTAACCCTAACAATCTTGCTGGTATTTATTTTCCACATTTATTAATAAATTTTACGCCATTAGGCAAATTTTTAGTTTGTAATATACCATGCCCAAACCATTCATGGGAATCGATTTGCTGAGATGCGACTGAACGATTTCTTCCTGGGATCTCTAATATTATTCCATGACTTTCTCATCATTTTCTGGCTGACATTTTACTGGCAAATTCGTCATAGATTCATAACGCCAGATAGCTGGATAGCGTCCTCGCATTCTCCCGATGAAAAGATAAACCAGCTTGGCAAAAACTTGGAGACTTGGCCAATTGAAAGTAATAAATTTTATTATATTTCTATATTTCTGATTAATACACTCACGGATTTATAGCTATTTCACTGAGCAAACCTGGGACGACGGCAAAGCCGATGACTATGGCGAGCCGGAAGAACCGGATCGTTCTCCTGTTTCGAACGAGGATCAGGACGAGGACAGCTCTCAGCATCGTCAGATTACAAGAAAAAAGGACAGCGGAAGTCGGGCCTACGATAGAAGAAATCAGAGAAAGCACACCACAAGCACAACTCCCTTGGATTGGTCCGTTTTCAAAGGAAGAACTAAAGCAAGTCGCTTCACCGATGATCCACCTGCTCCGCAAATTCGAAAGCCTGTCGAAGGATTCAAGAGTCCTGGCGTCCTGTACAAGGTTTCGCCAGTTGACGGCAGCAAATTTCCCCCGCCAAAGGATAAAGTTCCGGAAACGCCTAAAGAAGACTTTAGACCGCCGAAGAGAAGGTATGGATCAGAATTTGAATATGGAATTGCCAAAGGAAAAAAGAAAGTTGGCTTTGGCGAACCATCTGTCATTTTTCCTGTGTCAGATCCCCCATCAAATATTGATCCTGCCAGAGCTGAATGGGACGAAATGATAGATAAGCCCGAACAATATCCAGAGGAACAAGAAAACGGAACTTTGGCTGGGAGACCCAATCTGGATCCTGCCCCGTCAAATGTTGATCCTACTACAGTTATATGGATCGAACCGACTGATAAGCCCAATAAATTTGGACATTATCCGGAAAAACAAGAAAACTCAGGAGAAATGCATTTAGAAAATGCAACGGCAGCCAGGAAACCCAATTTAATGGACGATGAAATGCAGGGATTTAAAGGCACCGAAAAATCACAGCCAGACTGGGAGCTCTTGAGCCAAGAGCAACTAAGGAATCTATCGGATTCGAAAAAGCATCGAGTAAAGGAAAAGAAAAGGAAAAATCCACATGCTGAGCCACTAACTACAAGTATCTACGTTCAAACACGAGTGCCAGACTACGAAAAACTTGCAATGAATGACACTTTTGTTGACAATTAAAATGTGGTTTTAAATATGCTGATAATATATATATATATACTGATAATGTATATATATGAATTATTTGGCCAACCATAAATCGTATTTGCTCGTCATTTACCATTTAATTGCACTCATTAAAGAGCCCAACACACATCTTATTCAACCGCATTTGCGACAGGTGACAAACAAATTAATGTCTCTGAGATTTATGGCCCGCCCACAAAATGGAGCAAACAAAAGACCGAAAAGTCAGGCCAAAAACAACCTGTTCAATGAACTCTGCTGCCAGAGGGAGCACATCAACAACAGCAACAACAAAAAATCAGAAAAACCGTTTAACAAATTACGGCCAACACACGTGCAGTCACCATAAAAACGCACCATACTCTAAGGCTACAGTACGGTGGTACTTCGATGCTTCAACACACACCTCCACCTTCCAACCTGTACAGTAGTAACACATCGCATATAACACACATTTACTCCGTGTACGAATGCCGACCGCATATCGCTTATCTACCAGGCAGGCACTCCACCTACCTTTGCCCAATGATGGGTCTCTGTCCATACTCTTCTTAACCTTGGGGATTTTTGGCTGTATAGTTCACTTAATCAAAGGGATTATTTAAATTGCTATGATAATAATTCAGGATATTAATTTAGCTAAGTTAAAGGAACTTTATGGGATTTCTTAAACTTGGAGAGGCAGGGTTTTTAGTTAAAATTGAAAAGGGGAATCTTTTCTGTACTTTTAAGACGTTTGTTTTTGTTATTTATTAAGATAAGTCTAAACCATCTTAAGTAAAGTAAGCAAGTCATTATATATTATATATTCTTATGTATTTTTACGTCTTGGATAAGTTTTATTCAATGTAAGAGATATTTGTAGAGGATTTTACTATATTTTGAAGTCTGGATTAAGGTTTATGCACTATTATATTATGTTGTAGAAGAATCAAATCTATTTTGAAGTCAAGGCTAAGTTTTATTCACTTTGTAGAAGAATCTGATATATTTATAAGTCTGTATTAAGTTGTATCCACTATAAAGTATAATTTTAGAGAAATCAAATATTTTTTTGAGTTTAGACTAAGTTTTATTCACCATAAAATATATTTTCTAGAATTTTTATGTTTTCTAGAATATATTGTAAACTCTAGTCTAAATTATAATCTCCAAAAACATATATTTGTTGAGGAATCTAATCTATTATGAAGTCTAGGTCAAGTTTGCTTGAACAATGTTTTTATTGAGGAATAAGCTTAGTATCCTTTAACTTTCTCCACCTTTCTCTCCATAAGAGTATACCATTTTCGGTTTTATTTACAAATCCACCTAGTTCTTTTGGTCTTGCCTTGGGTTTTTTGTGCATTTCGGCAAATCATGGCAAGAACGCAAAGCACGACCACGACAACGACAACGACAACAGACACACACCCAGACCAGAGAGCAAGACCTGGAGCCACAAAGTTCCATGGCTGCTGGTGTTGATGTCAGAGTCCCCAGTTCGCTTCGGTTCCCCATGCCTCCACTCTCCAGACCCGTTGGCATTCCCCTAACCATTCCCATTCCCATTCGGAATCCCCTGAATGCCCCCGACTTTGAGCCACAGTCACTCATGACTGCGACCTGAACCAGATACACGATGCACGATAATATAATTTATGGCCCTGCTTGGTGTTTGCAGCTCCTCCGTCGCGTTATGGAATGTTTGATGTTCTCTCCTCGTCCCAGTTCCATTCCCAGTCCGAGTTGGAGTTTGCCGCTCGGACTCATCAACAAATCGTACATTTGAATACAAATTGCAGGCATTAAAGAGGCGGCGTCGGGAGAGAAAGAGAAGCTTCAGCAAAAGTGTCAAAATTGACATGAAATTATTTATGCTCGCACGAAAGTTGAACTCGTGTCTTTCAGTGTTCCCAATTAGGTTCATCGCTTTAGGCCCGGCCAATAAATATCCGAGACACATTTTCTTTTTGGTTTGTTAATATCTTTTTTCGTATATATTTTTTCATTTTTTTTCCTTTTTGCATATTTAGTTCTCATTTTCTCCTCTGTTTTTCCATAGTAGACAATATTTATTAATCAATGAGCTTTAGCTTTTAGTTTTAACTCTAGTTAATGCTTCTATTTAATCTGTAGTAACTGCAACATTAAGAAACTGTGGTTTTTTGTTTTAGTTGTTCTTGGTTTTCTTTGATGGAATTTAAGCGGGGAAGTAAAGGAAAATTATTGATATTGAAAGGTGATTTAAATGGTTTATAAGGAAGAACTTAAAAGAGGTTAATCTTTCTGCTTTTAAGGGATCACACTATTCGAAAACTTATTAAACATAAGTGCAATTTTTATCTTGAAATTTAATGCTGATTTATGGCTTTAATTTTCCCCTTAAACCTCTTTAGTTTTCATTAATTCTCTCTGGCCAAATTCCTTTCGAGTAACACTTGAAGGGGATGTTGAAAAATCCTTTCAGCAATGCACGTTCCCAGGACAATTCCCCAGCTGCAGTGCACTTTTGCTGACCTAATCTCAACCGGCCGCATCCAAGTCACGTACATAATTTCAAAACAAAACCAAATCCGAAACCCCAAATGGTTTTTGATATTTGCTACGACCAAGTAAGAGTTTCTAAGGGATCAGACAGGTCAGAGAGAAGGGGGTTCTTTTTGAAATTGAAATGGAAAAAAGGAACTTTCATTTGGCAATAAAAATTACTGAAAATAAAAAATTATAAAAATGTAGAAAAACACAAAATTTGTAAGTTCATTTGCAAATATTTTCATTCGAGGTGTATTTATATATTTTTTTTCCACTCTCACTTAGGCATTAGGGCTTAATCGATAGACAATTGGGTTCTATAGATATATATATATATATAGTACAATAAATAATACTCAGTCTTGCGTAATACAATAATATAACAGATACTAACTAAAAACGAAACTGATTGGGTTTTGGTTCGTTATTTGCGGGAGAGGGGATTTAGCAGACTTTGCAACTATTTACAAGTGACTAAGCAATTGGGCTGCTACTCCCTCTAGCAGGCCTTGACCCCTCTTAACCCCCCAAACTTAACCCATGCTGGCCCTGCAGCCGGGCAATCACGCGGCAACAACGACAACCAATGAGGCGCAATCATCGTCAGCAGCCGCCGCCGGCTGTAAGCTCTGCTCCTGCTCTGGCTTCACCACCACTGCCACCTCCTGACCCTGCTCCTCCTGCTGCTGCTGCTGCTGGTGTCCATCTGCCGGGATGTTAATGCAAATGGCAGGCATGGCTGCGGCCAAGTGGCACGATGGTGGCAATGGAGATGAGGATGCAGATGCAGAGGATTCCGCTTTATCCTCCTCCACTGTCGCTGACAGCTTGCACTTTTGCCGCCGCTGCAGCTCGTCCTTCTCCCAGTTGGAAATGCAGGCGGATTGCTGGCGATGATGATGATGATGCACGGCTGCCAGCGAGGGATACACAAACTTCATGCCGTAGGCAAAATGACGGGGCTGATGATGCAGTGCCTCATCGTAGCTGGGCAATCCGGTGGCAATTGTGTAGCATGGGGGCGATTCGATTTGGTAGAAACCTGCCTCACCGCTCCTCTGCTGCTGTCCCTGATGATGATGATGATGATGATGGGGATGCTGCTGGTGCAGAAGCAGGCGGCTGGCATCACAGCTGACCAGGTGCGAGGAGTACGAGTCGCTGGTTGCATGGATCTGGGCACGTATGTCCTTATCTGCAATAAACAGAGAAGAGGAGAAAGGGAGTTAGTTGAAGTTTATTGGCAGAAAGTTTCTTTTGTTTTGGAATTTGAAAAGGGATACTAAGCTAATGGAGTTGCTGATGAACTAACACATATTTTCTTTCTGTGTAGCTAGCTGAGGGGCTCTACCCAATCAGCCATCAAAGTTTCGACTCTCTCTGTCATTACTTTGTTTGTCCATGTCAAAGGACATTCTTTTTTTTTGTTGTTGCGCGGAGAATCCTGGCATTAAATTCAATTTACCGTAAAGGCGCAAACGCTTGAACTTTTCCGAAATGCCAGAATGCACAGGCACAACAAAAAAAAATTCCCCGGAAAGTTTTCTGCTGACCGGAAATGCCGGCGATGAGGAGGACTGGCAAAAGTTCCTTCGAAGCAGACTGACAGCCGCACACAACGACAATAACAACTAGGCAATAATATGCCGGAAGTGCGCGCGTGGCCTGCCAGAATGGAATGAAATAAAATACTCATACACACACACATGCACACAAAGAGAGATCCTGCAATGAAATAAAAGCTCGTTGGCATACCCGGAAAGTATGCAACAGAAGGCATTTAATTTTTATAATGCCACAGCTGGGCTCTGCATGTGTGTGTTTCATTTTCATTTGCAAATTAAGCTTGAGTTGAATTAAGATTTATACATTTCCATGCATTTTCGGTCTCTAAGCCCTGGCCATCATCGAGGGAATTTAATTTGTGCAGCTTTTTGAGTTACGCCCTTGATTAAAAATGCATGCGGCAATAATTTGCCTCAAATGGTGGCACAAAAAGCCTGCTCTGCTCCTGTTATTAAATGCAATTTAAACTGTATTCAATAAATAAATAGGGGATATACGTCTGATATGTTTTTTGTACGATTTAATTTGAATGTTGGACAATTTTTTTTAATTGTTCAACCCTCCCGAAAATAGGTGTATTTTTCATAAATTCTCTCGGACAAAAAAGGAAATAAAAACGATGTATTTTTTTCAATTAAAGCGTAGAACAACGCAGTTTGGGGGAGGTAAAAAGCCTGTTGAAAAATTTGCGCATTACAATATTAAAACGCAGCGGTGGCAGAGAAACAGTCAGCAGTTCCGCCAGCCTGGCAGCAGTTGTTGATTTATTGTTATAACTGCACACACACATATTTTTTCTGCTGTTTTTGGCCAAAAGTCCCCACACACACACACTCATACGAGGACTGTTCCTCTCTCTTTTTTTGACTTTTGTTTCCGCTTTTTCTCGCTGCCCGTTTGATAGACAGCCGGCAAACAGGGCGTTGGACAACGGTTTTGGTTGAAGGAGGCGTGGCAGCAGGCTTCATATTTTATGCAAGTGTTGAACAAACAGGAGCCCCTGTGAAATTTTCAGCCACTCAGTCTCAGCCATTTCGAGCATTGCAAATGGACACAAAGAAAGCGGGAAAAGTTGAAAGGCAGGAGGCAGGAGAGCTGCTGTCTGCACGGGGAAATAAATACTAGGGAAATTACCCAATAAAAGAGGTGAAAAATTACATTTTTAAGGATTTTTCAACTCCCTAAAAGATGTTATTTTAACAATTATTATAAATATTTCCCCCCTATAATCTTCCCGTTTAATTATCTTTATAAGTTCCCTAATTTCTCACTGTGTAAGTTGTTGAACAAAAAAAAATTAGCACTCGATTCGTGCTCCTTTTGTTTTTCGGCTGCGTTGGCACTTTGCTTTCCTCCTCATCTTTTTTTCCCCCACCAGCTTTTGTGTGATTCCCCCTTCACACAGTTGCTGCGCCCAAATGTATGCAACAATTTAAATTCATCGCAATAAGCCGGCACTCTCGAATGGAAACTGTGGGGGAAAATGGGGAAAAACACCCAAGAGCTGCTGCTGCTTTATTTTCTTGTTGCCATAAATGTCTGTTAATTTTTTAACTGCCACAACTATTCGGTTGAGGAGAGCTTCTTTTTTATATATTTAAAAATTATTATCATTGCATTTAAGCTGCCGGAGGATATTGATTTTTTTCGTTTAAATGTGTGTGCTTTTCAATTTCCACCCGCAAAAGATGCACTGTCATTAAAAGTTTTGCCTTGGAACCACTAAACGCTGACCGGCAACAAAACAATTTGGTTAATTACAGCACTCAATTTGTGTTTGCCAAAAAACAAGAATAGAGAACAAACTAACATAATTTTCACTGTAGAAAAAGCAGAGTTGGCCAAACTTCTAGTTTTTCTGCGCCAGCAAAGAGCCATTAAAAATTGAAAAGGGCTTCTGGCCAAGAGGAACTTTTTGCTGGTCTCTTGGCCAAATATGCCACGCTTAATTACATTTTTACGCAACTGAATTATGCAGGGACCCCCCCTTATACAACATGATAAACATTTGGATAGAGAGGCTGCCTTGGACTTTAATTTAGAGAAGACTCACTGATAAATTCTGTGGCGCTCTGCACTAATTGATAACCAGCCAAAAGTCCTGTGTGTGTGTGACGGTTTAATAAATAAAGTGTAAGCCAGGCCAGGCCGTTGGGTAATAGGTAACACGTAACTGGCAACTGGCAACTGGGCCAGCAGACAACACTCTTGTATCTGGCTGGATGTTTTTGGGCCTCGTTAAGTATTTATAAGGTAAACACTGCGAGAGGCCACGTAGTTGGCATTAAATGCACAAAAGCCGAGACGACTTCGGGTAGTCGTAGGCAGTTGCTTAATTATAAATGACACACGTACTATATACTCCCTCCTCTAGTATCCTGGCTGTCTATCCCTGCCCTATCCCGCCAGGCACTTGGCCTATCTATGTAGGCCAGATCCGTACGGGAGGTAACATAAAACCAAGGCAAGGGTGGAGGCCGGAAAAAAAAAGCACAGAACACGACACTAACGAAACTAATTAGACGCATTGGACGGACGCCCGAAAGCAGGCACACATATCGCTCAAATTGATATTTTAGGCAGAAAATATATATATATATATCTATATAGTGTGTACGGTAGTATCTGGGCCCGAGCCTTTGGTCGCGTGTCGTAATCGCAGGGCAAAGTTTTTAAGGCTCGTTAGCACAAAATTGACAGTTTGACAGTTGAGTTGGCCAGGCTTTAATGCCATGCCCTATACAGAGAGAGGGAGAGTGTAGGTGGAAGAGGAGTCCTGTGTGTTCCCAAGTTTGCCTGGCCTAAATAAATCATTTGGCTAAATTGGTCTGCAAAAAGTTTGACACTTGAGTCGGAGACTTGTTAGTCGTGTAGGTTGTTTTGGCCAAAAGCCCTTTTGCTTCAAGTCTGTTGCCTCTCTTTTTTTTCCTTTCCTTCAATTTAGTTTGGTTTTGTGAATATAGGTTTTTTTTTCTTTTAGCTTGGTTACGTTGTTGTGGTTCGGTAATTACGTGTAAAGTGCCTAAACATATGATTTATTTTGGTTTCTATGGACTGTTGATAGGTGCAACAGGTTTAGGGGCATTTTTCCTGACAGATAAGATATATATTTACATGGGTCTATATTTACAGGAAATTGGGGTTGAGTGCTGGCTGATAATCTGCGGGTTTTAGGTGGCTTTTCGGGCGATAACAGTTTTGGTGTCAAAAGTTTGATTGATTTGGGATTAAAGGTAGATAGTAGGGGGTTTCAACTTTTAGTTATTTATATTTTCTGCCTTTACTAAAACTTCCTCTAAAATGTCCTATAAACTCAGACTTAAGCATCTGCCTCACTTGTTTATACTCGACTGAGTAATATGGTCCATCATTATTATATTATATTACTCTTTATCGCTGCGTCCCACAAAAACGAAACATATAAATATCAACGCATAATTTCACGCCTTTCACGCTGAGCAACAAATTTTTTGGGCTCAAACTCGACATTTTCCCTCCAACACAACTGCGAAGAAGGGGGTCGTGTGGGTCGGTTCTGTATAGTCTCCGACTTCGAAACATTATCGCTATCATAAAGGGGGCAGGCACAATGCCGCTGCTGGCAAAGGCCAGTCAATTTAATATTATAAATATGCGGCACATATATTTTGTGGCATAATAAACTTGTGTATCTAAAATTACAACAGAACGATGCTGCCTCTCGCTGGCTTTCTGCCTGACAATTTCGAAGCGCGCCAAAAAATTTATGGGACCATGGAATACACAGAGTCCTCCTTTCAGAAAGGACAGGATTCCTCCTCTCTCTGGAGAATGTTTCTGTTTCTGCATTTTATATTGTTTAGCAGCCTGAATAAATGGCCAAAGATAAGGCTTTTGATTAAGGTTTCGTGGGGGGGATAGGATGTAGGACTAACATAAAAGCCAGATATGTATGTCAGGACTTGAGATACTTACTGCATTTCTTCCAAGTGCGGAACTTCCTGTAGAAATAGCAGCTGAATAGGATGAAGACTAGGGAGAGGACAACCAGTGAGGTGACCACTCCAATCCACAGATAATTGATGATCACATGCATATCTGCCTCGCCAAAGATTTGACTAAACCATGTAGATTCGGTGGCATCCTCGGATCTATCCCTCAGATCGGCCAGATCCAAAACCACCGATTTGGACAACTGTTCGGTGCTGATGCTACCATCCGGTGACCAGCCACTGGGCGGTGCTGGGTCATAGTTCACCGCCGCATTGCCAATCCGCTGGAGCAGAGCATTGAACGAGTTCAAAGCATCAATGTGACGGAGATCATGGGGACTGGGAATCTCGAAGGTGATCTGGTTTTGCTGCAGGTGCTCGGCAATGGCCGCGGGACTCATGCTGCTGGCCGGAGCGGCTATGAACTCTGCATAGAGCTCCTCCGCTGGAGTTGTGGTCTCCACATTTGTTGGATAATCCGTGGTGCTAATCATTTTGATTTTTGTGTATTTTGTTTTATTTATATATTTGGTTTTGGAATATATATATATATATATATATCTTTGTATATATATATATGTCTGGGCAACTGGCACAAACAACACTAACTATTGCCGCACGACAAACACGTAAACAAATCGCACTGCTTGCTATATATAAGTCATATGGGCTCGATTTCGATTTTCACCGATTTTCTTTAAGTGGTTTTCCCGCTGCGTCCGTTCGCTGGAGCGGCTATAAACTGACTAACTCTCACTGACTAACTTGAATGCCTATATTGCTTCTCTGAGTAGCGAGTGAATGGTACTCAAGTCGAGCTCTCGCTCTATTTTTCTCCGATTCTCTGAGACTCGCTCTCTCTCTCTCTCTGGTTCGAGTGAGTGAGTTGAGTGTTTTGAATGAGTTGAGTCCATGCTCGTAGGAATCAAGTCAAGTTGCGAGTTAAAGAAGCATGCAATTTCTGGCATGTCTTTTATGTTTTTAAATGTTTCGCGTCCTTTCAGTCCTTGCCTGACCCAGTTTGGCTACCAAAAAAAAACTTTAGAGAGAGAATGAGGATTCCTTCCTCACCTCGGTCACGTTCGTTGTTTAAAGTTTTCCTCAGTTTTCACAGCGTTTTTCCCCCACACAAAATTTGCTAGAAGTCCAAAAGTTTTCATTCTCTGCTGATTTTAATGAAAACCCAAAACCGAGGTTTTATATGTGCCACTTGATAAGCTGCGAGCTCTGGCAAGAATTATGGTTGTGGTGTAAAGTTTTCCTGCCGAGTGATAAATTAATGAAGAATATGTTCAAGTTTTTTGTCATAATTTCAAACCTAAACCAGCTTTAGTTTCTTTAAAGATCTCCTTTTAAACACTTGCAATATCTCATCTGTTTTAGCCCAGTTTTAAAGCAAAAAACTGTAACTGGAACTCAAAATCTCGGCCATTATGAGTCCCTTGAGCGTCAGGATGCCGCAATGCTTCCTGCTCTGCTTTGCCCAAATACAACAAAAAACAAGGACCTCGCAGGGAAGGAAGGATCCTTGCCACAGCACGCTTCATTTGAGCGCATGCTGACCATAAGCCGGATGCACAAAAGGCTTCTCGGACGACACAAAAACGTGCCAAAAATATTCTGCTCAGAATGTGGAACAAATGCAATCACCACAATACTCACTCAACTCACTCGAAAGACTCACTCGAAAACCAGTTTGAGTGTTGCACACTCTCTCTCTTTTTCTCCCGCTCGATTTTCCTCTCAGCTTATGCGCACTCTCGAATTTTCCTTACTCTCTCTCTCTCCGCTCTCATTTTCCGGAGCACACAGTCACGAAAGTGAGCAGTCGCCGGCAGTCGCCTTTGAACTGCGCCAAGCGAAAGGTCACACACAACCTGCGTGGGTTTGTGTGAAAAGCCAGAGGTTTTCCTCCCTACGCAACTCCTGTGGTGCCTTGTGGTACCAGGAAAAGTGCGCCTTGTAATTGCCGCGGGAAATTGAAATAGATGCCCGATAATAAGCACTTAGCTCTGAGCCCAAAGTCACTCGATAAATGCATTAAAAAGTTTTCCCAACCGCCGAAAACTTCTACGCTGCCAGAGTCACTCCTCTATGCACTTTGGCGAGCAGCAAGCTAGCTTATCGTTAATTAGCTTTCGACTAATTCTGAACTTGAGCATAAGTTTTAACTACGGAACTGCAGCGATTTTAATCGATGTTTTGGCATTAAAAGGAAACTTTAACTACCGAAAAGTGGTTGTAAAACTATAGGAAGAGAAATTATCATTATTAAATTATACTCTTCCTTGATGGTTTATAAGTTTTCGAAAGAGTTGGGCTGCTAGAAATAGAGGTTTATTGAAAACTACCACAAAAAAGGAATAGAAATTAGGTGGTTATTTTATATATTTTATAACAAGTTTCAGGAAATATATCTATATTTAAAATAGGTTCCGGAAAATACATAAATTCTTGCGTTTTATAAATTTTTCCTAGAGAGTTAGGACATACTTAAATACAATTTCTTACTAAAGAGTTAGGAAATATACCAAGGTTAGAGATTTTATAATATAAGAACTGTGTATATTTATAGTTTGCAATTTGATTCTTCCTTTGACTAGAAAATCTATCATAACTGAGCCAAAAAATATTAATTTCCATAGGATTTTTCTTCTTTTGTTTAAAAACAAAACCGTAAAACAACAAAATGCCACTTGTTTTAAATATTTTTTCTCATATTCATTTGCATCACAAATATTTCCATGCATTTATTTACCATTAATGCCTTGAGCCAAGTAAATTTCTGAAACGTTCAACATAATCAAATTGTTTTCTTTTGTAAAATAAAAATAAGAAAAGAAAAGAAGTGAACACACACAATTTGATTTGATAAAATTCTCCTTTTGTGTTTCTTCGATAACATTTGTTCGCATTTCTTCCTTTCTGTAATCCAATTTTGTTGGCAATGCAAATTAAATTCGCATCACTTGACTTGTCGCATTCAATCTGCCGAAGATGGAGAGTCAGTCCTTTAACCCACTGATTTTCCACACTTTCCCAGCCAGGTTTTTTCCGGCGAAACAGATGAAGATGAGTTTGATAAACAAGTTTTTCACCTCTTTTCATTTGTGTGCAGTGAAGTATGAAAAACCTCACAGACAGCCAGGAGATTTTAATATGATTTCTTAGAAAGACAAAAGTATCTACATATATATATATATATAGTTATATCCTGCATTTTGCACTCTGCCTTTACAAAATATGGAAGGACACACATGCCACTGCATGCAGATGCTGTGTGACACCCGACTAAAAGTAAATTCATTAAAAATTCCATCATAAAAATACCTGGGCTTGCTCACGTCAGTTCCTTCCGAAAAAAATAGGAGGAAAAGCAGACTTGTATTCTTTTCACTAACTAACTAAAAGTAAACCATAAAACTAGGGAGGTCCTGGGGCTTGGCGGAAGAGGAAGCTATCTCTCTGTCCTTTGAGCAGGACTCGTTTCGCCTTCGTCTTATCTTGCAGCTTCCATCACACTTCACTTACATGCTCTTTAACATGTCAACATGTCAGGGCTGCAGCACGAGGGTGTGTGTGTGTTTGGTGTGTGTGCGAGTGTGTGACATAGTGACATAATAAAATGTTACTTTAGTTAGTAGTTTAGACGTCGAAAGCACCGCAAAAATATGCTTTTTTCCACAGTGGCAAATGCAAGATACTAAGATACTTCCTTTCTTCTGGGTATTTTTCTTGGGCTCTAAAAGTGTTGGTTTAAGTGCAGTTTCGGTAGAGCTAAAATGTATTTGGATCTAGAAATATCTAAGAGATGAAAGTCTTTACCTTTTGGGAAAATTTTTAAAAACTTACCGTCTTTTTGATTGAGATTTTATGTAATTTAGGCTTTAGGGTCGGAATTCGTTAATATAAATCTGTGTTTTGTACATAAAAAGAGTTGTAAATGATTTATTATTGAACTTTTAATTTGAAATAATATTTAGAAAATATTTTGGAATACATTTAAGTACTCTTAACTACCAAAAGACTTCAAATATATTATTTTCATCCTAGTTAAACCCCAAATATGTACCATTTCCTTGATCTAATTAAGATGCTTTCAATATCTGCTTACCATTATGTTTCCCTCTAGTAAACAAATCCCCTCCCATCTCATTAATATCCTGTTTAACCCATACATATGATTGTTGTAACAGGCTCTGCTGAATAAACAAGAACCAAATCCAACTCAGTTCCCTTTCATTATACAAATCGATTCATCAGATCCCAGAGCAGGCCACACGTAACATGCAAAAGTGATTTGCGATGCGCCGTGTATTTCCAATGCCATCAATGGCAAATTATGCATTTAATGGCCAGATGCAATTAGCAATCGGAAGGACCTTTAAGGATACCAACCCCAACCCACATACACACATGCATTCCGATTACTATCGCTGGCGTGTTGGGCATAATTGCCCAAGATTAACATAAATCAATCAAACGGCATAAAAGCACCTTTGTGCGTTACCTTTGTGAGCGTAGCTCTGCATATGGTAAATGCCTGTGAAATTGCGCAGAAAGTTTTGAGCGCTCTCACAAAAGGATATTCACAGGACGAGAAGTGAAAGAAATGCAAACAATGCAAAAAGGAAGGAACGAAGGAGGTTGAGGAGCGTAGAATTCAGTGCTAAGCCGTCCGGGTAAACAAATACAATTGCATAAGTCCTGCTGCAGTTGTTGTCCTTCTAGTTGTTATTTTTTCTAGTGTTACGTGTCCTTTCTTTGTTGTGGTTGTAGGCACTGCGAGAAATTTTGGTATTTTAAGGATTTTTTAGAGTAATTTCTTGGGGGAATATTTAGAAAAATAGTTTAAAAATGCATTATTTTAATAGAAAATCGAATTTTCTTATTTCAATGAAAGGGAATTATATAAAATTTTGCTATTCTCCTAAGAATATATTATAAATATGTTTGATTTCTCAGATATCCTTTTCAATATTGAATATTCCTTAAGTGTTTCTGGAAACCAAAGGAAACTAAGACCACAAAACAATTTCAATTAAAAAATACACTACATTTTGTTTAAAGGTTTCAAGGTTTTTTGCTTCCTAAATTATTTAGTTTTGTTATATTTTCCAGTGTACATATATCCTGCAGATATGGTCTGCTTATGTATGTGCAAGTCTGTTTATCATATGTGCGCTTGATTAGCGCTGACAACATATGCAGGCTGGCATTGCCCAGACATCAGGCCACAGGACCGCAAAAAGGACTGCCAACAGGACTCTCTGTTGACAAACAAAAACAAACAAGTGCACATTTTTGTGAGCCGAGTTGCATATATTTTGCTTTTCTGGGCAAGACGAAAACAAATAAACAGGCCGGTTTTCTCCACGATCCCCTCGTATTTCTCTCGTTAGAGTGCTGCAAGTCCTGCATCCTGCATCCTGCTGCAAAACAAAAGGGTCCTGTATCACGGAGCAGTTTTAAAAGGATTTGCAGTTGAAATATGCTTGGGGCATTGCTGCTGATACTGTAGTTTATGCAAAATAGAAAAGAGATGCCACACAAATGAACACTGGTGATTCTTTCTATTCCTCTTTCTTTTTTTTGGCAAAGGATAAAGTCAGGAATTCAACTGGAAAGTATGCATCTTCGAGATAGAAAAAAAATCACAGTTTCAAGGACACTTTTCTAGTAATATATTAGCTAATAAATAACTTTGGATAGACTTACTAAATTTATAATA